TCCAATGATGGTGAGGACCTCTTCACTGATGCCCTCATGCTCACGTATGTGTACCTCAACTCCAACTATCCAATGGACCAAAGGATAGTAGGATCTGTGATTTATTCAATGATGATCTCATGATTAATCTTCTCATCCACATTCTGAGAAGCAAGGAGACAAAAATTTCTTGTCATTTTTAAACCTATTTATATCTCAAAAATCTAGTGGGAATGACTGTGATTATTTTTACCATAAACAACTGATAAATATTTGAGGAAGTAGATATGTTTAATTTGATTTACATTCCACAGTGATACTTATATCAAAACAACACATAGTACCGCACTAATATATACAATTTTTATTTTTAATGTATCAGTAAAAATCCATTTAATTAAAAGTAAGAACCCTCTTTTTCCTTCTATATTTTGAATCATAGAACCATAGATTGATGATTTATAGAGAATGTCAGATATTACCAAATTCTCCTGCACTAACTCTGGCCCTATTACATTAATTGATGAGACTTATTTCTGACAGTGGAGACTGGCCATACATTTCAAACATCTTGGGGAACATGGTCTCTCTGTATTAATCCTATTTATTCTACAGAACTGAATGCTCAAAAATAACCAAATATTTTATTTAGCATGCTATTTATAGGAATTGAGCGCAGTGAAAAAGTAGCAGGGACAGAGAAAGAAGGCATGTCAAAATCAGTGATTCCAAAGTCTTCCAGGACTGATGATTTATGCTTGGATGCTGGTTTAACTATTAGCCAAGAGGAGATGAGAGAAGGCTTATATGTTAGTGCTTAGAGGCTGCTTCTTGCTCCCAGTGAATCAAAGGGAAAAATTAGAGGTAAATCCTGATTGTAAGGTCAAAAACCAAGACTTCCCAACTTGGAAAAGTAATCAATACTGCCAAGGAAGTACTGGGAACAAACTACAGGGTAAATAGATATAATATATAATATAGATAGATAGATAGAGATATTATATGTATAAATAGGTATTATATATATATATTTATGGATTTATAGATTTGACTGGTATTTTTATAACTGGTATGTTCCTCAGTAGTGTTGAATTTCTTTAAGTATAATGACCATGGATATGTGAACTTTGCAAGTTGGTGAGTGTGTGCAGGAGTTACAATCTTACAGATGGTTAGGGACAATACAATATGATACAGTGACTATGGAAAATATATGGAGGTGCTCAAAAATTGAAAATATAACTACTATGTCATCCAGGAATACTACTTTCTTGGTATATGTGTAAAAGAATGGAAATCAGGACTTTGAGTTTTATGTTCACTGCATTGTTATTAAAAATAGATAAAAAATGGACAAAAAACTCAGATGGCCAATGATGGATGTGTGGATCAGAAAATGTGACATAAATATATAAAATTATTATTCATACTTAGAACATTTTCATGTGACAGTGTCACTAAACCCAGAGGACATTATACTATAAGTCAGTCATAGAAAGGCAAATACTATAAGATTCCCTTTATATGAAATGTCTATAGTTGTCAAAAAGAATCGAGAAATTATACCTTATGTTAAATATTCTTACCCCATTAGAAAAGAAAATTAAGGAAAAAGGTTGTGTTTCTGCAGAGCTTGTAAGATAAACACGGATAAGTTTGAAATTATACAAAATATAACCAAGGCAGCCTATTTGCTTCCTGATCCCAGAATGTTCCAATTAAAGTTAAGAAAGGTGATTCCCATTGTGAAACCCATCTCTACTATTCCTCAGTCTCTCTGAGAATTGCTTTAAGAGGCCCCCACCTCCCTCTTCTTTATATAAATAGGACCACATTTTATAGAGGCATCAAGATACTTCCATTATCAGAGGTTGACCAAACCAGAAGTAAGTCCTGGTGCTTTTACTTTCTTTTTTGAGTCAAGTAGAAATTATACTACAGTTTCATTCATTTACCAGCTTTTAAAATCAGGATTATCTTGACTTTGAAAGTCAGTGGGGGACAGGAATCTTGATTTTAAGTTCTGAAAGAATATATTTTCTCTTGGGTGTGTACAAAGAAGTAGAGAGAGGAAGTCAGCTATGAAGAGTATCAATTATATTTCTAATACCAGTTATTATGCCCTAACTGTATTCAGATTTTAAGTCATCTACAAGGTTACTTTGTTAAAAATAAACTGATTATTATAGTTGTTGTTTATTGCTTGTCTCTACCTTAAAAGTAGAAATTGGCAAAATTATATTTTACCTGCAGGTGTTTAGGAGAAATTTAACTTTGCTGAACCCTGTTTCCCAATAATATGTCATATACAGGTAGTATTTTCTGCTGCTTTTACCAGCAGAATTTGACCTTCAATAGAACTGTCACTCGTCCAAAACAACCAGGGTAAAGAAATACTTCACTCAATAACTGAAGATGTAAGACCATTTTCTGATGTGGGACTGGGCTTGTTTTAATAGAAAAGCTCATGGACTTATGTATTTTTTTGGTAAGAAATTGAGGATAGACATTTGCCCACAACGATGACTATAATTTCAATGGTATTTTGAAGAGTTTGTATAAACAAACAAAAAATCCAAAAAACTTAAGGGACCATTCTAAAAATGAATTATTTTTCTTTTCTTTTTTTATTGTTGTGCTTAGTGGGGCTATATTGTGGCATTTACAAAATTTTTTACAATATATCAAATATATCATACTTGAATTCAGCCCCTCCATCATTCTCCTTCATTCCCCCCTCATTTTATTTTTCTTTTTCTCTGAGTTTCTTTTCACTCACTTGTAATTATTGTATAACCTCCAAGACCTACCTAGACAGCTAGCACTTAGAAATTGGCTACCTGCTGGTCCATTCTTATTTATGCTAAAACACTGAGATCTTCCTGTGTTTCTTTCTTCCTTCCTTCCTTCCTTTCTTTCTTCTTTGCTTCCTTCCTTTCTTCTTTTCTTTTTTTCTCTTTCTAAGGAGGCAGGAGCTCACTGCTCATCTTCTCCTCATCCCCACTCTCAGGACTGATATCCTGTGTCCTTCAGATACAACTGGGCCATGACACAGTCCTGAGTACGACTGAAGGACACAGGTATGCATTTTATACAGTTGCACAAGGCTCTACACTGAGAAGATTTCCAAACTTGGTCTGATGCTCCACTTTCACAAGCTTGAAATTTCTAAGTTTTTGAACAAGCATCTTTACATTTTTATTTTCCAGTGTACCTAGTATATTGTGTTTTGTGGTCCCAGGATTTATAATTTCTGGCTTTCTTTTCTCTTTGAACTATCCAACCACTTGTTGCTCTGTCAAGTTAAGGCTCATGGAGTACAGAAGTAGCAAGCCCACATGTTCCTTGTTCAGGTGTTCCCCTTTCCCTCTGGAAATCTACAAGCAGCAAGATCTGCTTGTGTATTTCTTTGTGTTTGTGCACTTATCTTACTTATAATCTTAGATTTTTGGTTTTTGCTTTTCTGTCTTTTACTTGAACTGGATGTTACTGGATTCCATGTAAGACACAGAGTTTTTAGGTCAAAACTGCTTAAAATACTACAGGCAATCATTAAGTAACACACAACAAATAATTCCTCCTGCATATGACCTCAAGTGTAATTCCTGGTTGTATCTTTTCTTAAAAATATGAAATTCTTACATTTTGTTTGCTTTCTTCCCATATTTATCTGGTCAATTTTCTGACATCTGTTCTTTCTGTGGCTTCCAGAAAAGAGAATCTTGAAAATATCTCACATGCTCCTTTCTCCTAATACACAAATGTGGTCTTTTTCAGAATATTTTCTGCTAGACACTTCTTGAAGAGTAGCTATAAGTAATCACTGACCACTGTTCTATAGTGAAGATTGTTTGGTATTAGTCATGGGAAAGTCATAGGTAGAAACTGATCAGACTTTTGAAGGAGTGAACATTTGTGTTTTAGGGAAACTCTCAGCCAGAATTTTGTGTCCCCTTCTTCATGAAATCTGTGCCTAGATAATTGCTAACATTTCAATAGAAACATCACATGGTATCTTTGTGTCTTCTCTGTATCCTTTTTTAAAAAAAGACTTAAATTATTGTTATGTATTCTTTCTTCATTCATTGCTAAAGACAAATTTCACTTCAAAGTGAAATCTTCCTTGATCTTATTTGCTATTTGAAATAGCATTTATTTACTCACAATTCTCTCAGTTTCCATTCAGTAGAAAGAATGCAGAGGGAAGAATTGTAATGAGTTTCATTGTGATAAGTCTATAAATTCATATATCAAGCTAACATCAGATTTACCCTCACTACTATACTCTCTTACCTTCTCCTCTCCCTCCCCATTGCCTTACCCTTCTCTAAATGTCTGTCCCCATTTTTCAGTCATTTTGCTTGTTTTCTTGGTTTGTTTAATTGTTCTCACATGTAAGAGAAAACATGCAATACTTCTCTTTCTGTATATGGCTGATTTCACAGAGCAGTATAACCTCCAGTTCTACCCATTTTCCAAAAAAATGATATGATTTCATTCTTTTTGACTGAAGAAAGCGCTTATGAGTTGCCCAATATTCTACAACTTTAACTGTTTCAGTATTTGGTTGAATAATTAGCTTTGCAAGAAACTGACTTGTACCTAAGCTATCAAAAATACTTATTTTTCCTCAGTAGGTGAGGACATGTAAAACTCTGAGGGAGGTGGCTATAACTAAACCTGGATAATAATTCATTCTTTCAGGCTATCATGTGTTTTCTTCTTAAAAAATAATATGCTAGTAGTCATGGCATAATGATAAACTGGACTTTGTTCTTGTCCTTGAAGAACTTATATAGGAGTAGTGAAAAGCAGAAACAGTATTGGGATGTTATGTTCTATGTTGGATATACTGGAAGCAAAGAACATAAAGAGATTAAATCAGTCTCAAACAAGATGGGAGTAGGAATGCTTCTCAAAGCTGTGGCCTTTAATCCTGACTTTGTAGGATGAATAGATTGGGAGCCAAAAAAAATTGCATGGAAATACAGTAGATGTAGCTAAGTTTTACTTATGGATACATGTACAAATGTAAGTGTCAATATAGATATAAACAGAAATGTATTGTAGTGATTTAATACAAACAGACAAAATAATGTCTTAGTAGAAACATTAACAAATATTATAGTAAAAATTTTTTTGTTGAAAAAAAAAATATATGTGGACAAAACACAAGAGCAAGGGTGTGTGGCGGGGGGAAAATGGCCCAAACAATGTATGGACATATGAATAAATGAATAAATAAATCAAAAATTTTTTTTGTTGATATATTTAAATAAAATATGATTTTTGACTGTAATTAATTTGCATCTTTATACCTGCTTGATCTTTATAGGCTTAAGCACAGACCCTGAGTCTCAGGAAATATCTTTCACAAACAGCAGCACAATAACAGAATTCATTTTGCTTGGACTGACGGATCGTCCAGAACTCCAGCCATTCCTCTTCATGCTGTTTCTTGCTGTTTACTTTGTCACCATCTTAGGCAATCTGGGTATGATAGTGTTAATCAGACTGGATTCTCACCTTCATACACCTATGTACTTCTTCCTCACCAACTTGGCTTTTGTGGACTTGTGCTACACGTCTAATGCAACCCCACAAATGTTGACTAATTTCTTATCAGAAAAGAAGTCCATTTCCTTTGTTGGCTGCTTTACACAGTGTTACATTTTCATTGCACTTCTCCTCACAGAGTTTTATATGTTGGCAGCAATGGCCTATGACCACTACATGGCCATATGTGACCCTCTGTGCTACAGTGTGAAAATGTCCTGGCTAGTCTGCATTTGCCTGGCCACATTTCCTTATGTCTATGGCTTCTCAGATGGGCTTTTCCAAGCCATCCTGACCTTCCGCTTGACCTTTTGTAGATCCAATGTCATCAACCACTTCTACTGTGCTGACCCACCACTCATTAAGCTTTCATGCTCTGATACTTACGTCAAAGAACACGCCATGCTCATATCAGCTGGCTTCAACCTCTCCAACTCCCTTACCATCATCCTTGTGTCTTATACCTTCATTATTGCAACCATCCTCCGGATCAAATCAGCAGAGGGAAGATGCAAAGCATTCTCCACTTGTGGTTCCCACATGATGGCTGTGACTTTGTTTTATGGGACTCTCTTCTGCATGTATGTAAGACCACCCACCAATAAGACTGTTGAGGAATCCAAAATAATGGCTGTCTTCTACACCTTTGTAAATCCAGTGCTTAATCCATTGATCTATAGTCTGCGGAACAAAGGTGTAAAGCAGGCTTTAAAGAATGTGCTCAGACAAAATATGGTCAGGACAATGTCAGTGCCTCCACTTTCATAAAACATAACTCTATAATTTTGTTCTAAATGCATTTGTGTTTTGGTGATGAGTTTTATTCTCCATGGCTATATCTTGAGTGTCCCAGGTAAATGCTCATGTTTGTAGGAAAATTACCGGCACTTGTTTTTCTATTCCTTGCTCCTCCACATGTGTTCTAAGGTCAACAGCATAAGCGTGACCTTGGAGGTTATTATTTTTAGAAATGCAGAATCACATTCTACTCCTCAGATCTACTGTGTTCAAATCTGTAGTTCAGTCAAATCCTCAGGAGATTTCTAAGCATGGTAAACTTTGATTAGCACTAGGAAAACTGGTATTACCAGGACACTAGTGTGTTCTTACTGTTTACAAGAGTAAACAGGATAAACACATTTTCAACTTAGTCCCTTCCATTCCCCTTTTCATTTGTCTTCTTGTGGAAGAATCTTTAAGACTCTTGAGTTACTAAGTAAAGTCAGAAACTCTGCATCATGATAATGGTTTCCTATTCCTTATGAATGTGCTGTGTAGTAAACATAATGCCATTTTTTTCCATGGCTAAGTGCACATACACCATATGGCCTGTTTATATGTACCATGGAAGTGAGGATTTTATCTAGGAAAAGAAATAAATTGTTTTGGGATTTTAAAAACTCAAAAAAATCAGTACAGGTTTATCCTCAAGACTTGTGCTAAAATGAATAAATTAAGGGACAAATAGTCCTCTCACCAAAATGTTTGTTTATTGCCCCAAAGTGCTAAGTATTTCCTAAACTTCAATCCACAGAAAAGTAGTATATGCATATAATGTAAATAAAGTTGCATATTAAATAACAACACTAGTAAAATCTCTACTTTTTGTTTTTATTATTTGATCTTTTTATGTGTTGGTTGGTTGGTTTAATTTTATAAGGAACAAAATTCCCTGAAACTAACTAAGTCTGCAGGGAGAATTTATTATGAGTAAATGGTAATATCTCACAGCATCCAAGAGTACAGCCATACTTTGGAATGCTAAATCCATGAGAAGTTTTATGTCTAATTATTTATTCCGTATCTGTTTGTTGCTAGGATTTATAATATTTACATTTAAATATGAGCCTTTAGTCCTACAAACTTGTTCATTTCTCTTTTTTTCTTGTATAAATATTTAAAGGTATTTATATTTCCTGTGCATTGCTTTAGTTGCAAGACACTAATATTCATGCTTTTTAAAATAAAAAATTAATGTAATTTTTATTTTCATTCCTTTTGTAATATTTTCATAAGTTTTCTTGGATGTCTTTAACTGTGAGTGAGTAGGAGTGTGTACTTAATTACGAGGCAGTTAGGCAATTTAAAACATATTTTACTGCTATTTATCTCTAACTTAATTCTATCATTGTCTAAGAGCAGGCATCTCAATATTTATATAATAAAATTAACTGATACTTTTATGGCTCAGCATATGATCTCTGTTGCTGAATGATCTGTGTATATTCAAAAAGAAGTGGAGCTACCGGCTTCTGGGCTCCCCTACTCTTCTCTAGCCGTAACTTTTCCTTTCTCTCTAATAAATCTTACTTTATATAAAAAAATAAAAAGAAGTAATCTGTCTTCTTTAATACTTAACCCATTCTAGTTTGAATGGGAATAATAATAGTACTAATGTGATTTTTTTTGAGGGGGTGGTGGTACTGGGGTTTGAACTCAGGGTCTAATACTTGAGCCTCTACCAGATACTCTACCACTTAAGCCTCTTCTCCAGCTAACTAATGGAACTTTTTAAACTTTATGATTGGTAAATAATTGATATTCAGTATTCATATAATCGATATTCAATATAACATGTCTAATTTAAGTACTATTTAATATGTTTAACAAACATGTCAATTACCACCAAAGTTATCCTTTGTTTTTTTTATTTTAACTTCTTATGCAGTCCTGGGGATTGAACACAAGACTCTGGACGTGGTAAGGAAGTGCTCTACACCTAAGCTACATTCCAGCCATCAAAATTTCCTATTAAGTCTCTTTTCAGCCAGTTCTTTTTACACAAAAAGAGCTTTGATTTGCTTCCTAATGATAGACTAATTTTATACATCTAGCATTTCATATTAATATAGTGGATCCATGTACATTCTTTGCCTGGAGTCTTTCACTTAGCAAAATATCTTGAAGAATCAAGCAGTATCATGGATCACAAGCCTGCTATTTTTTTCTCTCATCTAGTAGGATTGCATTTTAAAGTTATACCACAATATATTTATCTTGTTAGAATTTGAGTTCCTTTATTATATATCATATTGTCCTGTATTTTAGGCCTAACAAAAGTGTGTTTTTAAGGGAAAGAAAGGTTTTTCCACCTACTCAACATAAACCCACACTGCAAACAGATGTGATTACAATAGTTAAGTCTTGTCTTTTGGTTTTCACACAAGCAGGATGCCTTGTTGTCGCCATACCTAAAGATATATCCAAAGGAAATGAAATCAATATATGGAAGAAATGTTTATGCTCCCCTGTTCATTGTAGTTTTATTCACATTAGCCAAGATGTGAAATCAGCCTAAATGTCTGTTGTTGAAGAAGAAAATGTGGCTTATGTTCAGGATGCAAACTCCATGGAATAGTGAACATACAATTAAAAAATGAAAGACATGAATGTAAAACAAGTTATGTTAAGGAGAAGGTACCAAGAGGAGGGGGGATTAAATGAAGTGGGTAAAGGAGGGTGAGTATGGTTATTGTATTTTCTATACACGTATGAAATGGAACATTGAAACCTGTGAATTCGTTTTAAGAAGGGAGGAGAAGAGGGACAATAATGGAGAGGATGAACCAAACAGGGTGCATTGTACACATATGACATATATGGGAATGTTACAAAGGAACCTCCTGTAAAACTAACATACACTAATAAAAAGGTTTGTGGCAACATGTATAAATCTGGAAGACTTTACATTAAGTGACATAAACCAAGCACACAAATATAAATAATGCAAGATCTCACTTGTGTATAAAAATACCTAACTCATAGAAGCAAAGAACAAAAGGCTGTCACCAATACCTGCTGAGAAGAAAAGCTAGGATTTGTGTTATTTTGTTCAAAAGACACAAAAATTCAGTTAGAAGGATTAAAGTCAGGAAATTTATTGTACAGCAAGATAATTATAGTTAATGCTTATGTGCTGCATACTTAAAATTGCTGACAGTACATTTTAAATGTTTATAGAACCAGTAAAAAATAGTGTTAGCTTGATTTAGCTATTCCACATGTATACATATATGAAACATGCCATAAATACAAGCCATTTCATTTGTCAATTAAATTTAATAGTGTACTCATAATTTGAAGGTGAATTTTAGTGCTCTCTATAGATGTATCCCAAGTATCTCAACTAAGAAGTATCTCAGGTCTGGGAATATTTTGTGCACTTAATTTTAGGCAGTTTTTTTTTCCTTAGTATGTGGTCATTGGACCAGTAGCATAGGTACTGGCTAGAATGCTAGAGATGCAGAATCAAACACTATACCTCAGGTCTACTATATACAAATCCATATTTTAGCCAAATGCTAGGTGATTTGTAGGAACATTAAATTTTAAGAAGTCATCCTCTAGATGAAAACTCCCAACTTTGATACCCCAGACCACTGGTGGGCCCTCATTGATTACAACTCTAAGCAGGATAAACCTGCTCTGAGCTCAATTTCTTGAATTTATTCCACTATTACTCTAATATGTCTTTTGGATTGAGGTGTCTTCATGAAACACAACTTTCTGTATTCTTACCCTGACTCACTAAATAAAACCAGATACAATGTGTCATGATAGTGATTTCCCATTTCTTATGAATGTGCTTGTTTCATGGTAGGCTGATGAGAGGGGAGCAGAATGATTCTTCTTTGACCTCAGTTTGTGGCTAGAGCTCTCTGAGCTATAGGAATGTACCTCCTTCCTCTAACCCAAAAGCCATTGGAGGATGTTTTCTGTTTAACTTGTATTAATTATTTATGTTAACATAAATATCTGGAAAAAGTGATGTGAGGAAAGATTAAGTTAAGGGAGAAATTAAGAGCAGTAGGCCATACCAGCTAGCACTCTAACTTCATTTTAATATTCTTGTATTCCTAATTGTTTTTAGTTAAGTAATATTAATTCTTTCCTTCCTGACCTTAGACCTAATTCATGACTTGTCTATTATCTACCTATCTATCTATCTATCTATCTATCTAGATCCTGTTTATAATATATGTACCATGGCCATAAAGATATGATCTGCAGGAGGAAATGAAACTGTTAAGTCCTCTTCAAAAACCCTAAGGAAGCCAAATAGTTTTAAAATGAATAATTTAAAAGACAGGTAATCAATTAGTTTATTCAAAACTCCAAATTCCCTCCTACTACCCTAACATGTTGAGCACTTCTTTAGTTCCTATTTTGGAAGAGGCAACTTGTTATTCCACTATAAGAGAATAAAAGTCATAAAATATTATATACACACAATATTAAATTGAACATAAATTAACAATATTAATGTACTCTGTCTTTTAAAAAGGAAAAAAAAGAATTTTCTGAGACAAGATAGGATAAAAGGGTAATTTATTATATTTTTATAGAATATCTCACAGCACTCCAGGAGCACAGGTGTGTCTCAGGAACCAACCAGAACGTAGGGATCCACAGCTATAGGATACTTTATCTCATGGCCTATTCCATATCTACTTTTGCCTATTTATACAATAATGAAACATTTCTTTGATAAAAGTATTGTGTTTATTTAAAAACCCTTGGAATGTAACAACTCAACTACATATTTTTTTTTTGTAGTTTCAGATTAATGTACAGTTAGGAGAACGACTATTTTGCATTGGTTGCTTCTTGTCAACTGAAGATGAAAATCAAACTTCTTCCTGTTTAACTGAACTGTGCTGTGGACAAAGAAGAACCTGCCTTAAATTTCCATTTCAATTTATAATCTCCATAATGTACAGGCAAAGTAAATGGCTATAATAATCCCACAACAGTGTCTAGAGATACAT